TTTTTTTGTTTTTGTTTTTTTTGTTTTTTTTGTATCTTTCTGAGGTATTTGTCTCTTGCAACCCATATTACAAAATAATCCAGAAATGTTTGCAAAACAAAGCAACGTAAGGAGAAGAATGTTCTTGGTAAGGGCTTTTACACTTCCAAGTGTATCAGTTCATTTTTTATAAGGTGACTTTCCTTAGAATAAATTCAAGAATCAGAATATTTTTATAGAAAACTAGCTAATTACCTGGCAAGAATGGTTGGGGGGGCGGACACTGGAGAGGGGGATAAGATAGAGTGCTGCTACCTATGGCCCATGCTGCCACTATTCTGCCTCTTGCAAGGAGGGGAGTGGGGAGCTGAGGCCAGCACTGCTGGCCTCAGCTCTCCCATCCTCTGTCCAGTCCTCAGCGCAGCTTTGGAATCATGGTGGTGGTCCTCCATGCTTGGAGCACTCTGGCTGTTTCCATCAGCCAATCAGAGCGCAAATAAAGCATTATAAAAGCCTAAGTTTGTCCATAATATTAGGATTATAATAATGTTGTTGGAAATAGAATGGAATTCTGGTACAGCTTTGACCAAGTGTTTTCTCATGCTGCTTCAAAGTGTTAGAATGGCAAGTAAATATAGGAACAGTAAGTTAATAGAAAAATTACTAAACAGATCTTAATAGGATACTACAATAAATTACATAATTACTGTTATGACTAATATAATTTATTGTTCTTCCTACACCTTGACTTTGAACTGAGGATTGGTCAAATAACGCTTCCAACTTTAGTACTCGGCTGGTCTTTGGTGCGCTTGTAACTTATGCTTTTTTTTCTTCCACTTTTTGATTGGAAGTATTTTTGAAAGATCACTAAAATGTGTCTTACAAAACATTAACTTACAGAAGAGACTGGGGCAACATAGGTCTACACAGTCACAGGTTTTACTGGACGTTCAGGATTTTTCTCGAGGAGCAAAAATGGCAGCTCCAGGACAAAAATAACTAGGGAACGATCAGGGTTAAGACGCTCCTGGGAGAGTGAATTCCTGTACATCTTTTCTTTGGAGAGAAGCTACAGCAAAGTCCTCCAGCATCCACAGTGGTTTTGTTCTTGCCCCCTGGAGACAATGTACTGCTGGACTGAATTGCTCCAGCCAAGCAGAGAGCAGAACACGATCCCCATATTTTGCTGCTGGGAGATATTGGCTGACCCTGAACAGTCTGGGTCAGTCATTTAGGACTGCTGTGCACTTTTGTCATCTGTCTGTGGGCAGACTCGGGGCATCTGCAGAGCATACTGGGATGTGTGTACAGAAGCCTCTTTAACTATGCAGTGTCAGCACTGCAAGCTCTGCTTCTCAGGGGCTCATCATTCAAATGTCTGCTCAGGGTCTCTAGGTAAGGCTCTTTTGTTGTTGGGTTTTTTTCTACCAGGAAAACAAACCAAGGAGAATTCTTGCAGATCATTTGAATGTGTGCATGTAGACTGAAGCAGTAAAATTTAAATTAATGGCATGTGTGCTAGAAGCACAATGAAAGAAATGTAGGAGAGCACATCTATTTTCAGTTCCAGATGGAGATGCATCAGAAAACATTATGCTTACCTGAATTACAAAGCTGATATGTGTAACTGACTTGGACCCAGAACACGTTTAAGCTAGGGATGAAAATTAATCACTATTAATGTGTTAATTGGCACATGCATTAACTTTGTTTTACCACATTAGTCGACCATGTGGTTTTGGAGCCTCTTCCCAGGCTCTGCTCCACCACTCTCTCATTACAGTCCCTGGGCCACCCAGCAGGGAGTGGTGGCAGTGCAGAGGAGCTGCAGGCCAGCCTGGTCACGGGCTCTAGGCTGCTGCAGCAGGAAGGCTGGGTGGGGAGGCAGGGATTTGTGTGCACAGACAGACACACAGATGGGGCAGATTGTGGCCCCCATGGTGAGGAAGAGAGTGGGGAAGGGGATATGGTGAATGGGGCCCTGGGGCTGGGGTGAGTTGTGGGATGGACCTGTGGGTGGCTCGTCTAGAAGCGCAATTCCATGCCTCTGTGTGCACCCCTGGAGGAGGCATGGGGTGCATGTGCCCTCCAGTTTTGTGTGTGGTGCAGAGACAAACTGCCTACTACAGGCTGGGGCTCTGTGCCCTGCTGTCTTTGCCCCGGGAGCCATAAACTGGCTGCACGTCCCCTGCCCACCCAGTGGCAGGAGACCAACTTGGTGTTGTGCGGCTCTCGAGGCAAAGACAGCAGAGTGCGGAGCTCCAGGCCACAAAGGGCAGCCTGCCTTGGCCCCACTCACAAATCCAAATCTGGGGAGCACATACATACCTTTTCCTGTGGATGTGTGTAGCGGCAGGGAGCCATGCCTCCTTCCCCGCGCCCCCCCCCCCC